CACACCCCCAAACCAAGGATGGCGGAAACGTCCGGGGGTGGAGGACTTCATGTATAGTATCATAACCACAATTTCAATAGTAATTTAAGCAAACACAACCAACATATATATAATTGAAAAAGTTACATCACTTGTATGAATTACATGTTTCAAAATCAATTACAATATGTTGACAAAATATGAAAAGTTTGACGCCTTAACGTCCCATCCTCAAAAGCACTTGTTTACCTGTTTAGTGTTATCCTGAGAATACAAGTTGTTTGGAAAGTGTCAACACAAAGGTTGGTGAGTTCATAAGCTTTTATTAATAAACTTAGTAGAAGTCTTTCACATGTAAATGTTGCGTTTGTTTCTGAAAAAAAATCTGATATTTTCCTTGAAATCCGTGAAATGTAGCCTTATAACCAAAGACCCAAAATGTATAAGAAATCATCATTACTTAGCAGAAATGTCGTGAGTTTAAAATGATACGGAAAGTAAATTTTTAATCAACCTAAAACCTACTTCGGTTTTATGAAATCCCGTAAACTTTATGAATTGTTAACTCCCTAGGTGAGTCGCTATAATCATACTGTGACTATGTAAACCTGCCACAACGTTTCTCAGGCGTCGCGAAAATGAAATGACATTTGTCACCCGTAGACCTGCAGGTCCCACTGTAGCTAGCAGCAAGGTGTGGGGTGTCAAACCCAATATAGATCTATATACAAGTATCACGTTCTCCCTCAAGGAGATTCTGATTATAACTACCAGGAATTATATCCCGCACTCGGACGTACGGGGAGAGAGAGAGAGTCTCACAACATAGGTTAACAAGTTTACGTGGAATGTGTGTGGATATAAATCTTTCTTGTATGAATGTACCCTTTTCGTACGAGTGTGTTGAGTGATGTATCATAAACTATACCTATTATAGTTTATCTAAAATGTATGTAATATGTATGAATTCGTTTATGGAAATGTATTAGTGTTGTGAATTTATCAAACTATACTTTTTATAGTTACATAATACGTGTTCTAAAATGAATGAATAATATTTAATATGAATGACTTAGTTTCAGTTCATAATGATAAACTAACAAGGAAACACATTCAAATATTAGAACTTATGATTATACACTTTGCTCAACATAATACAAAGTGTTATGATATTTACATGCTGTTGGCTAACTTTAGCCATTCTGCCTGTTTTGGAAAAATCATAGAAAAATCATACGAAGTCGAAAACTAGATCCGTAAATTCTGAGAGTTCAAAAAATGTGTCTAGTTTACTCATAATTTTTATCACGATTTTTAATGACCTCCAACTTGGGTGAAAAAGTCCATAATCACAGACTGGTCCGGATTGTTGTTTGAAATGATAGGCAGTTTTGTAAAAATCACCATAAATTGTAGAAAAATCGTATGGAGATGTGCAAGTAGTCATTTTAAAGCTACAAACTTGAACTATTTGCACCTTGTACAGTTTTGGAAACAAAAATGTTTAAGATGCCCAAAACAGTCCGTGAATGGAGTTGAACTTTTCTGATGAAGGCTGTTAGAAATATTTAGTTATGTTCTTGATGTTTTAACTTGTATCCCCCCCCCCCCTGAAAACTTGAGAAAACATGAAAATGTAGGGGTATGAACTCACCTTAAGTGATTTCAGTAGGTAAGTGTTGAAGAAGAGAAGTGTTCAACCCAAGAACACTTGAAGAATCACTTGAAGATTCGAAGATCTAACACAATTATGAGAGAGTTTGTTTAAGATATCCATGATTCGAGTGGAAATAATTGAGATAATCATAAAGAGAATGGATTATTCTTACCAAATGTGGAGGAAAATCCAAAGATCAGCCCTCAAATCTCGAGTTCTAGAGAGGGAAAATGAGAGAGAAAAGAGTTTGCTCTTTTTGGTGAAAAGAGAGGAAATGAGAGAAATGAGGAGAGAGGGTGAATATTCAGCTCTCCAAAAACGTGGGGAGGAGTGATGATTGAGTGGAAAGGACATTGATGTGACCTAGGTAAGGTGGGGAGGTGTGGCTGGTCATAGAGTGGGTGTGGGAGTGGTTCTTGTGTCATAAAGTAAAGCAAAGTCAACACTCCACCTCTTTGTACTTACCCACTTGCTCTTATTATTTAAATAAGGATTTTTATGAAAATATGATTACATTGAGAATATTTAGGGTTTATTATGTTAAAATATGATTTTGGGTGACAATCCCGCGTTAAAATAATTAAAAACGGGCCTTAAATGCAAAACTATGCGAAAACCGGGAAGAAAATGAGTTCCCAGCGAGACCTCTCGGTCCTAGGCCGAGGTTCGGTCCCTAGGCCGAGGCTTGGTCCATGCTGAGGTTGGAGTCGGAAGCGAAAGGCGCGAGTCAGACACGAGAAGTGAAGGGCGAGGGTCCGGTCCGAAGGCTCGGTCCGAAGGGTCAGTAGCGAAGGTGAGGTTCGGTTCGGGAATAAGAGGCGAGAATGTCAGAACCGAACGGACTGTAGTGAACAGTACCTTCGGTTCGGTTAGTGAACAATACCTTCGGTTCGGATCAGCAGCCTTCTTCATCAGGAGGTTTCGGTTCCTAAGAGGGGTTTCGGTTCCTAAGGTCCGTTTTTCGCGTTTTAAGCCGTTTTTGACCCGGTTAAGGGCCGAAATGACTCGAATGATTCTAAAAAGTTACGGGAACTATTTGAGAGAGATTTGGGAGAGATTTCTCACACTTGGAGAGATTTGGGAGAGATTTGGCATTCTTGGAGAGATTTCTCATACAAAGAGATATTTGCGAGAGTTTTCTCATACTTAGAGGGATTTGGGAGAGATTTGACATTCTTGGAGAGATTTCTAATACAGAGAGATATTTGAGAGAGATTTCGCATACTTGGAGAGATTTGGGAGAGGTTTGACATAGAGAGAGATAGTGTGGAAACGATTGAGAGAGGTTCCATGTGGGATAGTTGTGAGTGTCTGGCATCGAAATGCATGGTTCGTGAACCCTGTTAAGCCTTGTTTAAGGATCTTACACACTCCCGATGAGTATGCAACATTGTTTTATCGGTCTAGTTCATTGATTAGAACTAGGGTTTAGGAAATTTTTAACACAAGACTTTTCTCAAGTGATGTTTTCCCATTAATATAGCAAGTTATACAGTATGAACATAACACAAACCCTAACACACAAGGTTTAATCGAGTTGACCGGCTTGACTTGATGACTTGACTTGACTCAAGATTGACGATTATCACACATTTTGTTGAAGGGCACGAATATCACATTCTAACTGGTATTGTTTAGCAAAGTTGGACCGAGTATACAGTCTCTCCAAGTGATTCCAAACTTCGTTTGCTATGTCATACTTAGCCAACTGCATACCAATGGACTGAGTAACAAAGCTATTAATCCAAGTAATGACCTTGGAGTTATCAGTCTCCTAAGCATCAAGCAACAAATCAAAATTCTCAGTTTGAGGCACTGAGGGTTTGGCTTTAGTCCCGGTGACATAGCCCCACATATTCTTCCCACGAAGGAAGTTCTTCACAACGTAACTCCAATACGTATAATTCTTTCCATCTAGACGAGTACTGATTGATAGAAGACAATCATCATTTCCAGTCATGTTGACAACGAATAAATAACCACAATAGCAGTATAACAATATGAGAATGAAAGGAGTAACAAACCAACATAAGCAATCAATCGGACAACAAATCAATATCGACAATGAATCAACAACAACAATGAGCAACAACGAATCAACACATCAACAATGAATACCAGCTACAACAACAACGTACCGATCTGCGCCACAAATGACTACTACAAGGACTTCTAACAACGTATCAAACCTTCGCTCTGATACCATGATAACATTGTCATATGATTATAATAAAGAGAAATTACAAGGGTTCTCAATGGAAAGTATAAATAAGACAAAGAATAAAGCGGCATATAAATACTAGCTAGACAAAACCCTAATGGGATAAAAGACTAAAGAACCCATAAAAAGTGAGCTAATAATATATAGGCTAACATATATATATATATATATATATATATATATATATATATATATATATATATATATATAAATTTTTTTGGTAGGAATGTAAAATGTTTTTTTCTACATATTTTTATAGCGAACAAAAAAAAATGAATCATTATATGAATAAAAAATAATATGTTTCATAAAATTTTTTCCTGAAAAAACATCTAAATGTTTCATTTTTACAATGATTTTGTAAATATTCACTAAAATTGGCATAAAAGTGAATTTGTTTTTGATCGACGACCGATGAAAGAGGTAGATCCGTTGAGGTAACTTACGACCGTCAAGACACAATTGGCGACCGGCTCTAGACTTATTAGCTTACCGGCGGAGGCACATAGCATGGGCACTTAAAGCTGTCAACGAGTAAGCTATGGGCCAACACGCAGAGGATAGTGTGTGAGTGGAGACGAGATTCATGGGAGTGAATTCAGGGGAGCTCAAGGAGGCATTGTGGTAATCCCTTTAAATAGGTTTTCGTTGTTTTGACTTGGAGGGGTTTCAAAATATTTCTAAGTTTTTAAAAAATTTCAATTCCCATACAAATGTGTATTTACATTGGTGTGGGTCAAGGCATGCAAGATTTGGTTCAAGCGTATGCATTCCTAATATTTTACATATAATAATTTATATTAAAAAAAAAGTTTATGTACGTATACAAATATTTTTAGTATTATTTCTTGAGTAGAAACCTAATCAATATTAGGAAGGACACACAATCTACAAATTTAGTATTATTTCTTGAGTAGAAACCTAATCAATTATGATGTATATTTTATAACATAAATATTTTTAATTACTACCAAAATTTGAAGGATGAGGAATTGTAGTTGTTACTTGTAAGTCCCTCTCATGCAGGGATACTCCGTTAAAAAATTGTAATGTAGAAAAATAAAAGGTTACTATTTTACAACAGTTGAAGAAACTAACCTTGTGAAATATCGGTTTCCCTTTACAACTTTTAATCTATGATTTCGACGTTAAATTTTTTGTAATAGTATCTCTAGGATTAATGAATGCCAATTACAAATATGAATAATTGCGTAGTACAAAAGTATAGACTTTAATGAATATTGAATGTCAATAAAAAGTGAAGATACGAGGACATAGTGATGCATTACACTACATTAATGAGGAGTACTTAGATCTTATATAAAAAATCGAGCAAAAAAAATAATAAAAGAGAATGATTAATAAAGGTTTATGAAACCAAATTCTCTTGTAGAAGAAATTTATTTAGATATTAGCTCGCGATTTTAAAATATCGAAGCTCATCTCACTAGGATCCGTTGCTTGCAACTCGACCTGAATCCCATCAAGTTCTCTCTTGAATCTGTCTTTGGAGCTTGCATACACCATCTTCATTCTCACCTTTGATGTATCTGGTGACCTGCAATAACCCATTATCGTTTTCTTATATATATATATATATATATATATATATATATATATATATATATATATATATATATATATATATATATATATATATATATATATATATATATATACTCTCAGTTATAGATTATCGCATTTTTATGATGATCGGATAAAAAGATGAATGGAATTCAAGGAAAAGGCATGCATGCATGTGAATTGTGATGATTGATTTGATATGGTACCAGGCAATGAAGATAATCTTGCTTTTCTGACAATTCTCGTCAGTAATGAAGTCAAAATCAAAGACAGCATAGCGGCATTCATCGCCAGGAAGAGAGTTTGTGAAATCTTCGTAGTTTTTATCAGGGCCACCAATCTTGTCAACGATCACCTGTTGATCCTCGATTTTGTATGTAATAAACCGGTAGTTCCGTTTTGCTTTTAACTCCAAAAACTTTAACTTACATTGATCGTCAACAGCCATTCCAGATGCCGCATTCGCCTAATCCACAAATCATTACAACGAAAAAAACAAAAACCAAAAACCAAATGGAAATACACCCATCATGCATCAAAACATAGAATTGGATCATGGTCATCGACATGTATAAATCAAATAAATTTCTTCAAAATACGATCATAAATCAACAAGAAGAAGAGATACATACCATGGTTGGTGATGCAAGTGGAGAATTATGGAAAGTGCGGATGAAGAAAGGATTGGGGTTGATGGAGAAGAAGGTCCTTCAAATCTGGGAAACAATCAAACTTTCACTCAAGAAAATGTGGGGAAAGTTGAGATTTTTAAGGGGGGAAATTAAGGTTGAGAAATCGTCTTTCAGCCATTTATGTGGTTGACCATTCATTATTCATATTATAACCAACAGTAATTCGAATTTCGTTTTCAATTTTGTGCAAGTTTCTATAACGTTTTTTACTGGATCTTGTGTGTTGTGTACCATTTTGGCGGATCTTATGTGTTGTGTACCCTTTGGGCGTACTATTATGTTTTGTTATAATTATGGGTGGCTAGGTGCTATTATGTTTTGTTATAATTATTTGTGTACCATTTGGGCGTACTATTATGTTGGTTGATTCATAATATCTTTGGACAAAATCCTAAAATAACGAATTTTCAACATCCAACACAAATATGTATGCGTAGGGAGGCCTGTGCAATTAAAAAAACATATATACACTACCAGAATAATGGGCATTAGCAGCGACGTTTTTACCGGCGACAGTCATTTTTAGCGGCGACACATAACTTTCGTGTTAGGTGTCGCTGCTAAAGGTGGCTGTCGCTGCTAAAAGCATCGCCGCTAATGCCTATCGACCCGATCCACGTCGAAATATGAGGTGAAACCTTAGCCGTTGATTTTGTCCTTAATCCAAGGACTGAAAATCGATAACGTACACACCAATAGCGGCGATAGTGTCGCCACCGCCAAAGTTTCCCCCCAAAGTTGTCGCCGCTAATTCCCTTCACAATTATAACTCCATTCAGTTCCTTCTTCTCTCATTTCTCATCTCCTTCTTCCTTCTTCTATGAACTCATTTCTCTTTGTCACCACCATGCTTCTCTACCGGATTACACACTACCACATGTTCTATATATGTTTATTTTAAATTTTGTATGTAGAATGAGTATTTTGTATATGTTTGTGAATTTATATGTATATTATGTATATAGTTGTGTATTAGTATGCATATATGTGTATTATGTATGTATTTGTGTATTAGTATGCCTATCATGTATGTATATGTGTTTTTGTATATGTATGTATATGTTTTTGTATGTGTATTATGTATGAATGTGTTTTTGGTTATATGTTTTTATAAAAAATTTATATTTTTATAATTTTATGAAGTTTGTTTTGTATATGGAAGAATGTTTTAAAAAAAAAATTAAAAAATAAGAAAACTACAATTAGCAGTGATACTTTTAGTGGCGACAGAAAGTATTAGTGACGACAAGGTATTAGCGGCGATCCTTTATCGGCGGTGGGTCACTACTAACGGTATTAGCAGCGACAATCGGGACCTTTAGCAGCGACGCCTGTCGCCACTAATGGTCATTATTCTTGTAGTGATATGCTTTAAAACTTGAAAGATTTAAAAATTAAAGGAAATTTTCAGAAAATCCCGATATTTACAGAAAGTTACACTTTAGTTCCAATTTTTTTTTTTTTAAATGAAAAAGTCCTGAAAACTGGTAAAAATTTACAGTTTGATCCTTCTTGACCGGCTGAAACAGGTACCAAATTAATTTGAGGCTATTTCATAAACTAACGCAACATATTAAAACTTTTCTATAAACAAAAAATATTAGGACTTTTCTGTAAATAAAAATATTATGATTTTTCTACAAATAAAACCCTTATTATTATTATTATTATTATTATTAAAAGTATAAATAAGAATACTATTTTTTGAACTTTTTATTATTAATATTGTTACTAATATATATAAATGTATTTAAATGAAAAAATAATATTAATGACATTGTTTAATGGTGAAGGTGGAGGAGATAGTGATACTTTTAGCATTGAAATCATGAATGTTTGCTTGTATATTATGATTTTGTATATGATCATTTCACATTTGTTATTATTGTTTTCAATTCAGAATAATAATACTTAACAATTTAAAAGAAGTTGTATATTTGTAAAATTGTTTATAAATAGTTTAAGGTAGAAGGATTTCTCACTTTGTATATAAAAATGTTTAAGGTAGATAGATTACTTTACAAATCCAAGAGGAATATGCGAGGACCTATTGGTAAAAGTGGATAAGTTCGTATTCCCAGCGGACTTTATAGTACTAGACATGGAAGCGGATCCTCAAGTCCCGATCATACTTGGAAGACCTTTCCTTAACACTACGGATGCTATAGTAGATATGAGAGATTCCAAACTCACCCTTCGGGTGGGAGACGAATCAGTTACATTTGGAGTTGATCAAGCAATGCAACATGCAAGGTTTAGTGATGACACGACATTCTCCATGATATGATGGATGAACTAATAGAAGATTGGAAAGAAGGAAAGTCGAACAATTCCTCTATAACTTTTGTAGAAGAATTTGATGCTGAAAGGGACCTTAAAGAGATAGAGAGACTGCTTGAAGAAGCCGACTACAATGATTTAGTCAAAAGTGCAAAATTTACGACTCGTCGAGTCGCCACCACAGACTCGATGAGTCCATACGAGGAATCACGATCAAATGAGGAATTTAGCCCAAACTCGACGAGTCACCTGTATCGACTCGACGTGTCCAGTGAACACAAAGTCCGACCTTAAAACTCTACCTGATCATTTAGAGTATGCATTTCTGGAAGAAGGTGATCAAAAACCTGTTATAATAGCTTATGACCTTTCCAAATCAGAAAAAGAAGCATTAGTCCATGTCCTAAAGAAGAGAAAGAGTGTCATTGCATGGAGTATCACCGATATCAAGGGAATAAGCCCCTCTTATTGCTCTCACAAGATTAATCTGGAAGAACAAGCAAAGCCGGTAGTGCAACACCAAAGAAGACTGAACTCGAACATGCAAGAAGTGGTCAAGAAGGAAGTAGTCAAGCTTTTAGATGTGGGGATCATTTGTTCTATTTCTGACAGTCCATGGGTCAGTCCTGTTCAAGTGGTGCCCAAGAAAGGCGGGATGACGGTCGTAACAAACGAGAAGAACGAGCTTATTCCGACACGAACGGTAACCGGTTGAAGAGTGTGCATCGATTATCGAAAGCTAAATGATGCCACTTGTAAAGACCATTTTCCTCTACCTTTTATTGATCAAATGCTTGAGAGATTGTCCAGCCATAGCTACTATTGCTTCTTAGACGGATTTTCGGGGTACTTCCAAATACTCATAGACCCAATTGACCAAGAAAAGACTACTTTTACTTGCCCAAGTGGGACTTTTGCCTATCGCCTCATACCCCTTGGGTTATGCAATGCACCTGTGACATTTCAAAGGTGTATGACGGCCATATTCCATGATATGGTGGAAAAATTCATGGAAGTGTTTATGGTCGATTTTTATGTTTTTGGATCTTCCTTCCATGATTGTCTTGCTAACCTTGATTTAATGCTTGCAAGGTGTAAAAAGACCAATTTAGTCCTTAATTGGGAAAAATGTCACTTTATGGTTAAAGAGGGTATAGTCTTGGGCCACCAAGTATCCAAAGCGGGAATTGAGGTTGATCAGGCAAAAATAGATACAATTGCTAAATTACCTCCACCCACTAATGTAAAGGGAATTAGGATTTTTTTTTAGGTCACACGGGTTTTTATCGCCGTTTCATAAAAGATTTTTCTAAAATAACTAGATCTCTAACACAATTACTTTTAAAAGATGCACCATTTAATTTCACCAAAGAATGTCTAGAAGCTTTTGAATTTTTGAAAGAAAAATTAACTAATGCCTTGATCATTATTGCCCCGAATTGGAACCTACCTTTTGAAATAATGTGTGACGCGAGCGACTTTGCATTAGGAGTTGTACTTGGCCAAAGGGTTGATAAGCACTTTCGACCCATATATTATGCAAGCAAGACTTTGAATCCGGTCCAAGAAAATTACACTACAACTGAAAAAGAATTATTAGCCGTGGTGTATGCTTTTGACAAATTCCGTCCTTATCTAATTTTATCTAAAACTACTGTTTTTACTGACAACTCTGCTATTAAGTATTTGTTTTCCTAGCTGGATGCAAAGCCAAGATTGATCCGATGGGTACTTTTACTTCAAGAATTTGACATCGAGATCAAGGATAAAAAGGGGATGGAGAATGTTGCAGCCGATCATCTTTCTAGATTCGAAAACTCAGAAAAGGAAGACAAAGACAACATGGGTTTTGGAGATAGCTTCCCCGAAGAATATTTGATGGTGATTGTGAGTGAAGAACCATGGTATGCAAACATTGCAAATTACTTGGCCGACAATTACCTCCAAAAAGGAATTTCCCATCAACAAAAGAAAAAGTTCTTTGATGAAATTAAATATTATTTTTGGGACGAGCCTTATCTTTTTAGAAGTTGTGTGGATGAAATAATAAGAAGATGTGTATTTGGCAAGGAAAGTAGAGACATCTTGGGACACTGCCACAATGGACCTGCTGGAGGACATCATGGGGTTCAATACACTGCTAAAAAAGTGTTTGATTCCGGATTTTATTGGCTCACTATTTTTAAAGATGTAGCAACTTACGTTAAAGAATGTGATGCTTGCCAAAGAACGGGGAATATATCGGCAAGGAACGAAATGCCCCAATTGAATATTCAAGTTTGTGAGATTTTTGATGTTTGGGTTATAGATTTCATGGGCCATTTCCTTCATCTAAGGGCAACAAATATATCTTGGTGGTGGTAGATTATGTGTCAAAGTGGGCGGAAGCACAAGCATTACCAACAAACGATGCAAGAGTGGTGGTGAAATTTTTAAAGAAATTATTTTCAAGATTTGGAGTGCCTAAAGCATTAATTAGTGACCGGGGAACCCATTTTGCTAATGAACAACTCGCAAAAGTATTGCAAAAATACGGAGTACACCATAGATTTTCAACGCCTTATCATCCACAATCCAATGGGCAAACCAAAATTACGAATAGAGCGCTGAAAATAATTTTGGAAAAATCGGTGGGGTACAATAGAAAAGATTGGGCGGATAAATTAGATGATGCACTTTGGGCATTTAGGACCGCATTTAAAACACCAATTGGAACCACACCATATAGATTAGTGTATGGAAAGAATTGTCATTTACTCGTGGAACTTGAGCACAAGGCTTATTGGGCTTTGAAAACATGTAATTTTGAGTCACGTGAGTTGCGTGCAAATCGACTCTTGAAAATGAATGCTCTAGAAGAAATGAGGAATGAGTCTTATACTAACTCATTGATTTATAAGGACAAGACAAAAAGATGGCACGATGCAAGGTTGAAAGGAAATAAAGAGTTTGAGGAAGGACAAAAGGTGCTATTATTCAATTCATGACATAAACTTTTTCTGGGAAAATTACACACTCGTTGGACGGGGCCTTTTTCTGTTAAGCCTGTCCATCCTTATGGTGTGATTGAGTTATGGAACAAAGATGGATCAAGTTTCAAAGTTAATGGGCATTGGGTTAAAAGATACGAAGAAGGAATGGCACAAGATGAAAGAATTGAAGAAATGTTGGATTTAGAGGAAACTGCAGCAACGTAGAGCTGGAAGGAGTCCAGCTAACGACTCCTAAAAAAAGAAGTGC